GTTACTGGTTATTACTAGGGACAAGGTTTCTATGGATTTATAAAGAATTATGATCACATTTGTACATAAATTTTGTGCTTTCTTTTATTCTGGGACTTTTTAAAATTTTGTGAAAATTGGTGTGTTTTTAAAGTTGGATCACATGTTGACATACACAAGTAGGGGTGAGCAAAACCGAACCGAAATCGAAAAACCAAACCGATATATTCGGTGCGGTTCGGTTCGATTTTTAAGAATTCAATTTTCGGTGCGGTTAAAATTTTGAAAAACCGCACAAATTTTGGTGCAGTTCGGTTTTTTGTCCGAATGATGCGGTATATATATATATATATATATATTTATTTTTTATTTTTTTTATGAAATAAGTTAACATGTTTGTATTGTACATATACATGCTCATTTTGAGCCTTTGGTTTGGGATGACTAACATTAACAAAAAATAAGTAAAGTAATAAATAATAACAATAACAATTAAAAATTGATAACATTACATTAAAATCTAATTTTCTGCCTTAGTTTTTCACTTTCAGTTCAAATTTTGGGCTTTTGGTTTGGTAATGTTGCACATTAAATGATGATGATGTAGCTTCATTTTATTTTGGTTGCTTTTTTTCTTTAAAAAAAATTGCGGTTAACCGAAACCACACCGAACCGCTCCGAAAATTTTGGTACGGTTTTGATTCAGTTTATCTTTCAATTTCGGTGTGGTTCAGTTTAGATAAATGAACATTTTCGGTTTTTGATTTTTTGCGGTTTGGTGGAAAATCACCATGCTCACCCTGCAAGGGAATTATTTCCGCCTTTGCTCAGGGCCTAAAAATATTAAGGACCGGCTCTGTCGCCTTGAAGTGGGTCGTTGAGGTTTGAACTCGACTCATATTGTTTGACAATTAAAGCTCAAACTTCTTTGGTGAACGAGTTGAGAAGAGAGTTTTTAGATATATTTTTGAATTTTTGCTTGAGCTTTATTTGTTAATTATTGAGTTCAACTTGTGAATATTGATATGGGTCCCTTTATCGGCTAAGTTCGATAAATGCTCAAGCTCGAGCTCGAACATGGATTCTTTGAACTTCACTCGACTCGTCTCGTCTCATCTCATCTCATTAAATCTCTAAGAATAAGTGACTGTTGGTTAATATATGATAAGTTATGAAAATATTTTTCAGCTTATATACTATAAAATCATAATAAAGTTTATGCTCTAGATAGAGAAGTAATATTAATATTACCAAATTTTGTAATTTGCCGCCAGTATCCACTAATCAAATTCATTATAACCCCAAACTTATTTAATAACTAGTATGTGACCCGCGCGTTGCGCGGCCTGGTGTTAAAAAATGATGTGAATAAATTAATCCAAAATTGAAATTGATGTTTAGTTACTAATTGCCTGTCATTTGATAAGAAGATTGTAGGATAAAAATAACTACTAATTTCTCCATCAAATAATAATTGAATCAAAAAATGAAAATTGATGTTTTGTTAGTGATTGCCTGTCATTTAGAAGTGAGATGAATTAGTCTAAGGAAAGAAATGTCTTATTAGAAGGTCAATCGTTGCTTTTACCTCTTATTGACTTGCAAATATACGTTTACGACTAGCTATACAACATCCATGTTTTTATATAACATTTCATTTATGATTAATAGAAATTTTATTTTAAAAAATTGCACTATTATTATTTTAAATGACATTCATCACTAGAGAACTCGAACGTTTTATAGTATATAATAATAGTAATTTTTTCAACTCATATCATGTAAGGGGCTATAATAGATAAGTTTATTTTGATTATTAAATAATAGTTCTGTTATTTCTAAATTAAGATCAACAAAAGATTTATTTACNATGAAAATTAAGTTGAAAATTATTAAAAGATGGTTATATATATTATATATGAGAAATTGATACTAAAAAAATCTTATTAATTTTAAAATATATTTATATATTAAGTTAATTAAGTGTTATATAATTTTAATGGTCGCATAGAATGAACAAAAGTTTAAATTTACATAGAATATTTAATTAACTTATAGGTTTACGAAGCACCGTAATTGATATATAAAGATTACAAACTACCAAAATTTGATATTTAGGTTTTCAGAAAAAAACTAAACATCTATGTGTAAGGGGATATCTTCTCAAATTAATAAATTAATGGTGCTTAACTTATAAAATTTTCTAATATGTTAATATTTTCATCATGTCTCGATGAAAAATGTGTCATTTCTATTTTCGAAACTCCTTATGTGTTTATACACATATGAGCATTTTCTGCAAATATTTAAAAAATACTTTGTAAGGGAATAATACAATTTTTTTTTTCTATATTGAAAGAGTATTTTCGAGATTTAAAGCACATGTTATATGAACTTCGATTAAGAAAGAATGTTTTCTTAAAGCAGCTTTGTTCAACATGAATCTAGAAAAAGCCCCAGGTGCCACTGGTATGTCTCCTCTATTTTTTCAACAGTTTTGGCCTATTATTAAGAATGATTTGTGTGAAGCTGTTTTCAGTTTTTTTTTATTCTAAGGGTTTGCTTAAGAGCTGGAACCATACTCTTATGACACTTATCCCCAAAAAGTTGAACCCTTCAAATCTTACTGAATTTAGACCTATTAGCTTGTGTGAAGTGGCCTATAAAATTATATCCAAAATCTTGACATCTAGATTCAAACCTGTTCTTCACCTCTGTGTTTCTAAAAACCAGGCTGCTTTTATTCCTGGTAGTCATGCCCCATGAGATTCTTCATTTTCTAAATAGGCATAGGACTGGGGGGAAAAGTGTATCTTGCATTAAAGCTTGACATGATGAAAGCCTATGACAGGCTTGAATGGAGTTGTATTAAAAAAGTTTTGCTGAAATTTGAGTTTCATAGGATTTTTGTTGACTGGATCCTTCTTTGCATTTCTTCAACCTCTTACTTTGTGAACATTAGTGGTGAAGTGTGTGGGTTTTTAAAAAATATCTCCATATATTTTCATCCTAGTTTCTGAGCTTCTTTCATTATTAATCAAGAGAGAAATGAATATATAGAGGGGATCTTTGAAAGGTGTGAGAATTGCTAGAGGGGGAATTAAAATGTCTCATCTCCTGTATGCTGATGATTAATTATGTATCTACCATTGTACACATTTTGGATTGTATCATAAATTCACAGGACAGAAGGTCAACATGGGGAAATCATCCATTTTTTTTAGTAAGAATGTTACTGTGGAGTTGTCTGATGAGATCTGCAGGGTGTTCAATGGGGTGCAGATGCATAGGTCTTCCAAGTACCTTGGAATGCCCCTTGGGATTGGGAGATCTAAGAAACAAACTTTTGACTATGTTGTGGATGCTGTGAGAAATAGAATATCTAGCTGGAAAAATAAGTTTCTCTCTCTGGCAGGAAAAGAAGTGTTGATGAATTCTGTACTCAATGCACTACCTATTTTCACTATGTCATGTTTTGTGTTGCCTAAATCCACTTGTTAGGAGATTTCTCGAATTTGTGCCACTTTTTGGTGGAGCAGTGGAAGTGACCAAGCCAATGGCAGGAAAAAATGGGCTGCTGTTACTGTACCTAAGGAGTTTGGAGGGCTGAGGTTTCATGATCTCAGATTGTTTAATGATGCTTTAGTCCTAAAGCAAATATGGAGAATTTCAACTAATCCAAACATCCTGGTAAGTAAATTGTTGAAGGGAAAGTATTTTCCAGCTACCTGTATCTTTAAAGCCAACACACAACGGAGTTCTTCATGGTTGTGGCATACTTGGATGGGGGTGAATAAGAAGTACCAGCATTGCTTTAGAATATAGTTTGAGGATGGCTTACACACAAAGGTATGGCAAGACCCTTGGGTGACTTCAACTTCATCAGGTATCCCACTCAAACCCAATGGCTCTGATTCAAATGTGGAAGAAGTGTGGGAACTGTTAGAGGAGGGAGGCAGAAGGTGCAATGCTGATAAGGTCAGAGTTTCTTTCAATGACAATGATAGTGCTTGCATCTTAAAAATCAAAACTATTGACCCTAGGAAGAAGGACAGATAGGTCTGGCAGGGGGACACTAAAAAAGATTTTTCAGTTGCTCATGCTTACACTAAGCTAGTGGAGGACAAGTTCAGAGAACTAGACATGGCAGAAGGTAGCAACACAACTGGGTGGCTAAGAGAAGTCAAAATAGAAGCTAGAAGCTGCAGATCAAAGGAAAACTCAGGCATTTTGTGTGGAAGTGCTTCTCTGAGGCACTGCCTGTGATAACTGCTTTGAGGAAAAGGGGGTTGCTAGTGGATGGCATCTGTCAATCCTGCGGGGAAGCATTGGAAACTACTGAACACATTTTTTTCCACTGCAGTAAAGCTAAGGATGTCTGGAAAATTGCACCGGTTAGCTGGCCTCTGGGCATTGGGCCTAACACAAGCTTCAGAGTATGGTGGAGGGATGTGTGCTCAATTAAAAGCTGGAAGTTTCAGAGACAAGAATTGAACTCACCACATATATATTTTGGTGGATGTGAAAGGTCAGGAACTTATGGCTATTTAAAAAGGAATGGCTGTCAGCATCTATGATTGTCAAAATGGCCATGGGTGATTGGCAGGAATTTGCAAACAGAAAAACAAGATGACTTGCAATGTTGGGGTGGAGGGGTCTAGGTCCAATTGGTACAGTGGGCACTCTGCTACTAGGCATGACTAGTTTGGAGGTTCTTCTGTTTTTCTGTTCGGTTTTGTTGGTGTTATTATATTGACTGTGTAGTATTGTGATGCTAATTCTAGTTCATGTTGTTGTGTTGAACTATAATGGACAATGCTAAGGATGACAGGCTTATCACTGGCCTTAGTATGTGTTCTTGTGGTAGTTTGTGTGGACTAGTAGTATTTGGTTAGTTGTATAGAGCTCTCGGCTGTGAGGTGCTCTCCTTTATTTAGAGTCAGTTGACTTTAGGATTGTAAATGTTTGTACATTGTTGTTATAAAATTCTCTATCTTTTTTAAAAAAAAAAAATATATTAAGAAAATAGCAAACCCGATTTCAAATATAAAAAAATTAAAGAAACAGCAAACACATTGCCCAGAAAAATCCCTTTTGTTCCCAATCAAATGGACTAAAAGCTCGATCTTTGTATATTAATCTGGTCAAGAGGGGTTTTTCTTTCGACGGTGGTAGAAAAAGATTGTCCTTTTGTTTCCCTTTTAAAATTCTTTTATTTTATTTTGAGGCCTCGTCTGCAATTGAAGCAAGTTTCAACAGAGAAGCCATAGGCTTTTGCTCGAGAGTTTCTTGCTTTTTGTTCCGCGTACGATTAAAAATGGCTTGCAAGATTACTTGGGTGTCTTTTTTCAGATTTCTACTGTTGTCATTGCTCGTCGTTGGTATTGTAATTGCTTGCTTCACTCTCCCTGTTGAAAAGGTTAGATTTTGTTCTTCACATTTTCTTGAATTCTACAGTTTCAGTGTCTTAACTTTTTTTAGTGGGTTTTTTCTTGTCTAGTTTTAGCTTGTAATGACGTTTTCTTTGACTGATGTTTGTGTTTTACCGTCTTTTCTTTTTTGGTTATTGGGTGTTTGCTCGAATTGGTTTTGGCATTAGGTGATGTGATTTTCATTTTATATTTCTATATTTACTTTTTGCACATGTAATTCATATTTTTGAAGCTGTGACTATTCTGTTTCAACCTTGTTACTAACATGACCGGTATTGACATGCTTTATTAACTTCTACAGAGAAAGTTGCAGGAGCTATCTTATGTTATGATAGCAAGAAAACACTTCTGGTAAACCCCAAAAAGAAAATTGTTAAATCTGCCGATTAGAGAAGTGCAATCATGTGTATTCCATTGCTCATTTGATTGTTCATCAATTTGAGTTTCTTTTTTCCAATATTGTAAACTTGTTTGTGACCGTATAATTTGCTTGAATTGTTGCAATAACAACAAGCCCTCTCCCTATGAATACAACATTGTTATGTTTCAAATATATACTTTTTGTTCTGAAATGGTACTTTTCTGCAGATGCTAAAGGATTTCTTGGTATGGGTAGACCAAGACCTTGGTCCTTGGGGTCCTCTAGCATTGTAAGTGCATTTTTTCAATATGTTTGTTAAATTTATTTAGTTGGCCTTTCTTGTTTGAGAAATAATGTAGCATATATCTTTTAGGATTATATTGTTCGCCTGTATCATAACTCTACGGGTTTACTCCACCTTCAAATTTAATAGACTTGGCAAAGTTAGTAGGAGCGCTTCATATCCTTCAAATGGCTGCCTTGGTTCAAATCAGCTTGAGTTGAAGAAATACACTAATGCTGGATCATTGATTGAAATTGTATGATAGAAGGCTTCAATTTTCCTGTTAACTGTAAGATAAAAGGTTCTTTCAGATTGGAATATTTATGAATCACATCTATGGATGATGTTATTAGAATAGCAGACTTTAAGAAAATGAAGCTCTCTTGTCCCACATTTTCGAAAGTCCATGTTGTTCATGTTTGAGTTAATTTGGTTGTGACCTTGGAGACTTTTCTATATTTTAGCTCGAGTCATAAGTCATAACCAGGTTGCGTGCTGAAACATTCAGAAACTGCTGATTTGTTTCTCTTATAGCAGACTTGACTCCTTTTTCCAATCTACGTACAGTGGCTTTTGAAGTGTCAATAAGCTTGAAATTCCCGTTTCTTTATGTCAAAAATAACTTAGCTGGCGAATATCTGTTAACTTTAATCTTTTTCTCATTTAACGACCTTGCAGAGCTGTGGCATACGTCCCTCTCACGATATTGGCAGTTCCAGCTTCAGTGCTTACAGTAAGGATTAGCTTCTCCATTTCATGGTCTCAATGCCATTATCAATTTATATTATAAAGAATTAGCAAGCGATTGTGAATCTAAGAGGAAAGCCAAAATTTTATCCAAATACTGTGTCCAGGTTGATGAATGATTAGTTTCCTCTGCATGGCTCAACTAGTCAACTGTTGTCTTATAGTTATTAGAAGAGTGTTTTTTTTATTTTTTTACGGTCATGATGTCAATTAGTGTTCAATTTGAAGGTATTGAAATGGATGTTTACTGAAATGTTGACTATAATTTGTTGGAAATTGACGTCCGTGCAGAAAAATCAAGTAAAAATTGCTATACAAGAAAATAAAAAAATGCACCTGTTAGCTCAATTCTCTTATCATCCAGAAAAACTGAAATTGCATTTCGAGTAGAAAGAGTTATCCTACATAATTCATGCAATATATGACTATATCTGTATTAGTTTCCATCAGGGTTTGGACATTGTCATCGATTCTTTATCATGAATTTCTAAATGGTATAAATGGTCTTTGTTTTTTGTTTGTGATTGTCTTCTGTCATATGACATATTTAGGTGACATTCTTGGTTTGTAGAGAGGTCTTTAAGGCTGCATTTTTCATCTGAGGTTTGTCAATCATTTCTCATCGAAGTCAATCTAAAATCTTCTCGTTACTTTTTATCTCTTTCAGCTAGGTGGTGGGTATCTCTTTGGTTTGCCTATCGGCTTTCTTGCCGATTCTATTGGTGCTACATTGGGTGCGGGAGCTGCATTTCTTCTTGGTCGAACTGTAAGATCTTTTTTCATTTTTTTAAAGGAAAACAGAATCTTTTACCTAGTGTTTAAGAGCTTCATATTTGATACTTATAATGCATCTTTTTTTGTAGTTATTTATATTCCTCTTTGTGTACTGTTTGCTCATTGCTTTGTATTTTTTTTACTCGTTCCAAAAAAACGAGCAGCTGGGGAGGTCATTTGTGATCTCCAAGTTAGAAGACTATCCGCAGTTTAATGCAGTTGCAATCGCAATTCAGAAGTCAGGATTTAAGGTCTGAATTTATGTTTTTTAATATAATGCAGTCTAATGCTTCTTATTGTTAAGTCTTTCCAAAATGATTTCTCCATGATTTAAAGTTCTGATACAAAATTCATTTTTTTTTTCCCCTCATTTTCTTGGAACAGATTGTTTTGCTACTTCGGCTAGTCCCTTTACTTCCATTCAACATGCTCAACTACCTCTTGTCAGTGACTCCTGTCCCATTAGCTTCATACTTGTTGGCTTCCTGGTTGGGAATGATTGTAAGTGCCGTATTTGTGTGTATACTTTTTGGACTTTGAAATACACCTAAATTTCGTCTGATGACACAAAATTCAGTCATTTTTTTTTTTTTAAAATTACTAAAACCACCTTAAGATACTACTGTACAGATAACCGCCCAAGGTTTTTCTGTTACTTATTTTACCAAAAAAGACGTGATATAGTTTCAAGATATAACCTTTTTTGCTATGGTTTACTTGAAATTTTGAGAAAGATGTAGCTTTAAAGAAAAAGTACAGGAATGATTCAATATCAATGGTTTTTATTTGACAATTTGTAGTTTTTCTTTTTTTATTTGACAACTGGGTTTGTGGATACACACAGATAATTTCTATATATGCACACGATGCAATTGCCGGTGTTCTTTTTGCAGCCAATTACTCTTGTCCTGGTATATGTTGGGACAACTTTAAAGGATATATCAGATGTGACTCATGGATGGAGTGGATTATCTAAAACCAGATGGGTAAGTAAGCTTCTCTTTTTTCCCAATATTAGTTAAACGAGATCATTCGGTTGCCTATTCTTTTCCAGATTGTGTGTCTTTCTTTATTTTTTGTTCTCTTGTTGCAATTACGGTCGATACTATTACGATTTCTTTCTTTCTAATGTCTGTGAAAGATATTAAAATCAAAATCGGAGTTAAACTATGCGCAAAATTTTGTTGCAAGCATTTTCTGCTACTGCATGAATTTGTGATTTTAGTGACATCATGATCAATTCATATAATATCATTGGCGTTTTGGATTATGGTAATGTATCTAATGCCCGATCGATTATTATCCTCCGTATGCAGCTTAAAGTTCCTTGATATAATTCCTCGTGCTTGCCAATATCATGTTTTGAACTTTTGCCTTTTTTGTTCGATGCAGGCATTTATTGCATTGAGCTTTGTTGTGTCCGGTAAGTTGCCTATTGTACTCATATGTGAAATCCTAAGAATCCATCACCCTTTTGGGATAATTGCAACTGACAGCATTGAGGTGAACTAAATCACGAAAAGCGAAAAATCAACATAATGTTTATATATTTACAATTCGCTTCCATTTGCCGGGATATTTCTTATTATATAAAAGCCAACTTTTTTGTTAATATATAAAAATAGGACTTGTAGGTATAATTTTGTAATTATTCATTTTATATATTTTAAAATATTTTTTTTCATCCCTTTCATAAATTCGATTTTGCTTGCAGTTGTGTTAATGATCTATGTTACCCGAGTCGCAAAAGCTGCTTTAGATAAAGCATTAGCGGAGACCGAAGTTACAAATGGTGATATCTCGTCAACTGAACAACCAGCTGAGGTCAGCGACTCGGAAAATCTCCATCAGCCACTTCTAATTAAGGTTGATGATGATGCTTCTCAAGAGAACCTCAAAAAGTAGGTCTTATGCTCGATTTTTTTTCTTTTGTATAGTAACATAGTCTTCGGTTATAGGTATTTTTTACAACTCACTATTTTTGCTATGCATACTTGTTGAAGTTCGATGAAGTCTCGAATCTTACTTGTAGTGTAAGTAATTTATTTTTTATTTTTATTTTTTACGCTCGTTCTTGTAGAACAATTTGGAGTGAGAGCCTGTTTGGAATTGTAATGTTGCAAAATTGGTGGGCCTATTTGTAATATTGTAGAATATTTGACGGAAGGAAGGTATGAAAAGTAGGGCGGTTATGGTAATTTCTGAATTTAGTCGGGTTTTCTTGAAATTAGACCAAACCCACTGTGTTTGTTTTTGTAATCATGCTGGAAAAGAATGTTGTGGCCATGGAAGTTAGCAGTAGGAGCTATCTGTGTGTGTGTGTGTGATTTTTTCCTTGGTCAGGAGATTGAAAGTTACTATTTATCACAGATCAAGAAAATACAAGTTTACTGAAGTGAAATTTATGATACATTTTTTTTTTTGGTCTGTGGGGACTAAGGACCAATAATCCATAAATGAGTAGCCATTGCACTTGTGTGTGTGTTTTTATTTTCATTTTTATTTTTATTTTTTAAATCCAAGAATTACATTTTTCATTACTATCCAAGTACTAGAAAGCCACAAGTGTGATGCCCAATCTTGAACTGATCATGATTCATGAATGTTGAAAGTACTATTTTGTGTGAACAGAAACATAAAAGCTCCAAAATTAATATTATATTAAAAATGTAAAGAATTTCAATTCAAGATCCAGAGTTTAGGAAAGGCATCAAAAAGCAGGAAGGCATTATTACAGTTTGGAATGACAACTTGTTTTGAAGTTCACTTTTACAGCAATTCTATTATTTTCCCCTCCTTTATTGCAAAGAGGGGTCCCTCAAAGAGTACACATTTATTCAAATTAAGTTACATAAAAGAAGCAAGGACAAACCCCACAGGGGGACTTCATCATGGTTTAGCCTTTTCAGAAGCACAACACTTATTGTTAAAAGTGATCGAAAGAAAATAAAGAAGTGTGCAGTTTTATTAGAAAATTTTGAACTCTCCCAAGATTTTTCACCTTTCCTTTTGCCTTCTACTATTTGGTCTATATTGAATATTGATCGAGTAACATGTGATTAAGCTAAATAGCGGACATCTTGATTGAAAGGTATATTATTTTCTCATATTATTTTGGGGAAAACAATGGTCTCCAAAATGTTTGCATAGTTATATATGACTTTTTGTATTAATAAGAGATCATATGATTGATATATTGTGGGTAGATCGTCTCATAACAATATGAATAAGAAAGAAAGAAATATTTGTTCGAACGTGAAATATGTACTAGATCAACTCTTCAAAAGTTTTAATCTAGAAGTGTTGGTTTTTTAATTTAATTTTTTTGCAAACTTTTGTATTTCGTGTATTAATAATGCCACTTTATATTGCTGGCATCAAATTATTATCATTTTCTACAAAATTGTATAAATTTGTGGTAGATTTCATTTATATAATATAAACTTCAGTTCGTCACTCCTTTACATTTTTATTTTGTTTGATAAAAATACAATATGAAATATTTTATATTTCACGGAATTAATAAATTTTGTACTCATATCTTCTCATAATGTGTGAAATGATTTTCATATGCTATGTAAAGACATATCCTTACGATGTCATATAGGTAATAAATAATCGACGATGTATAAAAATCAAACTATCAAAGTATACATATTTGTCGAAAAAGTCCATAAAAATGCAAATTGGTGGTGATCTAATAGAGTTGCATAATAAATCAATAACAAGTCACAAGTGAGAAATGTTTGGTTTTCCACATACTACTGCAGGAATTATCATATAATCGTCCAAGAAAATCAAAGAGCAGCTGTGGTTTATAGGGAATGAAGAAGCAATGTGGTTAGAAGATGTGAGATTATCATCATGTATTATTGAAGCTGAAAAAATAATATATAACAATGTAAGCAACTGTTTTTCATATTTTGTTATACATTTAATTATTTTATGATATAATACATGATGTAATACTAGTGGATTTACAGAACTTCCGTACTCTCATCTGCCCGAATGAAATGCAAGAGTCAGTTTATTAGTTGCGACTACTTTGCACCCAATTTCCTTATATGAACTTGTTGGAAGCAACAGGTTTTTCATGCAGTAAAAAAGGCACATTACAAGCTAAAGGTAAAGAAAACTTACCTGTGCATGGAAGAGGCACGAGCACTGCATGTGATGGACATTTTGTCCATTTGCACGAGTTGAATGAGCTGAAGACAAAAGACAGCTGTGAATTTGCACCAACCAAAACCGTATGATCAAAACCTTAGTTGATAGATGATGAGGACATGTGTCCATATACTATAGGCTACTTTACTTGATATATATGTGAGTAGTGCTAGGTCTAATGATTGATTGATCCATTCTCTGTAATTCCGCCGCAATGAATACAAGAGAAGAACAAATGTTCATAGTTTTACTCGTTTCTATTTCTTTGATTACTTCATGCATACCATGATTTTCAACATGGTATCAGAGCAGGTTTAAACCTGACTCTGATCCTTTCCATATTTTCCTTCCTTTTTATTAAAAAAAAAAATGTCTGAAGCTAGCTCAACCATGAATCCATCGACCCCTAGCTCATTGCAGCTCATCTCTCCCAACAATCAACTAGTGACTGTGAAGCTCGATGATGGAAACTTCCTCATCTGGAAACAACAAGTGGAAATGGCTATCAAGGGGTATGGTCTAGAAGGGTTCATTGATGGAACCAGCCAACCACCAGAAAGGTTCTTGACCACAGATCCAGCTGTGCCTATCTCACAGAATCCAGAGTATACCACATGGCAAAGGCAAGATCACCTTTTAGCTTCATGGATTCTCTCTTCTCTAGGTCACAGTATTCTCCCATTGATGGTCGGTTTAAGTTCATCCAAGGATATTTGGTCTGCTCTTCAAAGAAACTTCAGCAGCCAGTCACTAGCAAGGGTGATGCAATACAAGATGGAAATGCAAAGCCTCAAAAAGGGATCTCTGACCATGAAAGAATACATAAGCAAGATGAAGGCTTTGTTTGACTCTCTAGCTGCAGCTGGTCATATGGTTTCAGAAAAGGATCAGATCATGCACCTGATTAGCGGTCTTGGGCAAGAATATAATCCTATCATGGTTACTGTGTCTTCAAGAGTTGAACCATGGTCAATGGTAGATCTTCAAGCCCTACTCCTCAGTTTTGAATCAAGATTGGAATCAGTGGGTCTTGCTGCACCTCTGGTAAACAATGATGGCTCTTATCCCATGGCCAATGCTGTGATGACTCAGAATCCTAATAGAGGTACACCACAAACCAGAGGAGGTAGAGCTCCCTTCAACCAAAACTTCAGAGGAAGAGGAGGTAGAGGCCCAAATAGAGGAAGAGGAGGAAGGTTCTCTAGAGGAAAAATTCAGTGTCAAGTGTGTGGAGTGTCAGGACACACTGCAGAGAGGTGTTGGTACAGGTATGATAGTGGCTATATGGGAAGTGCCCCTGAGAACTCGACAAGAGGATTTAATGGTCCTTCAGCCAACATGGTCACTCAACACTTCACTCCATCAGAGGCTTCAAATGAGATGAACCAGTGGTATCCTGACAGTGGAGCAACCAATCATGTGACTAATGACTTCACCAACTTGAGCATTGCTAATGAGTATGCAGGAGGCAGCAAACTTCATATGGGAAATGGTTCTGGAGAAAACATCTCTCATATAGGTAAATCTCATCTAAAAATCTCAAACAGAATTTTTGTTCTAAAAGACCTTCTGCATGTTCCTAGTGTAACCAAAAACCTTTTGAGTGTGTCTAAGTTTGCCTTGGATAATAATGTGTTTTTTGAATTTCATCCCTTTCATTGTTTTGTGAAGGACCAAGTAACTCAGGAGGTTCTACTCCAAGGGGATCTTAATCAAGGACTCTATCAGTTTGAGCTTTCAAATTCAGTCTCTCACAAATCAAAAACCAGCAACCAATTTCAATCTTCACCATCAGTTTTCTTCACTAGTTTTAAGAATCAGTCCACTTTAGATTTGTGGCACAAAAGGCTTGGACATTGTAATCTTGACATTGTCAAGAAAGTTCTGAAATCTTGTAATCAACCTTTTGAAAATAATGCAGTGAATGGTTTATGTTCTGTTTGTGCTGTGTCTAAAATTCATAGACTACCCTTTGTTGATTCAGAAACCCAATATAATGCTCCTCTTGAACTAGTTCATTCAGACTTATGGGGTCCTTCACCCATAAAGTCCAGAAATGGCCATGCTTATTATGTCATCTTTGTGGATCAATACACCAAATTTTCTTGGATTTATTTTTTGAAACTAAAATCTGAAGTTCATAATATTTTTCTTCACTTCAAAAGCATGGCTGAAACTCAGCTTGGTCATAAGATCAAAATCCTTCAGAGTGATTGGGGGGGAGAATACAGATCACTTACACCCTTTTTACAAGAAAATGGAATCACTCATAGGATTTCATGTCCTCACACACCACAGCAAAATGGAACAGCAGAAAGAAAGCACAGACATATCACTGAGATGGGATTGTCCTTACTTAACCAAGCTTCCTTACCATTGAAATTTTGGGATGATGCCTTTTCAACCTCTTGCTATATTATAAACAGATTACCAACCAAGTCCTTACAGTTTAAGACCCCCTTGGAAGTCCTTTACAATCATCAACCTGATTTCAGCAGGTTTAAAACTTTTGGGTGTCTTGCTTTCCCTCTGTTGAGACCTTTTAATAAACACAAACTTGAACCTAGGTCTGTTGGTGGAACTTTTATAGGCTTTAGTAACTCTCATAAGGGTTATAAAATTTTGTTGCCTTCTGGTAAAGTGATAGTGTCAAGACATGTTTTGTTTGATGAAAATGTCTATCCATACACCAAGAACACCAGTATTGAACACATTAATCCTTATGCCTTCCAACCACAGTGCATTAATAACCCTCCTGTTGTGCAAACCCAATCTGCCCCTTCACATACAGAAAACCCTTCACAAAATCCTACAACAGAAACTCCAAACTCACCAAACCAGTCACCTTCAAATCACACTTTGCATAGTCCAAGATCTATTAACTCTCAATCCAGTCATAGTACAATTCCTTTAGTTGTGGATTTGCCTATTGAGATGAATGATAATCCAGAACCAAACTCATCTTCAACAAGATCTTTGAGGGTGTCAAACAGACATCATATGGTTACAAGAGCCAAAGCTGGGGTTTTTAAACCAAGAGCTCTTATTGTTGACATCCAAGAAAGAGAACCAAATAATCTTGATGAAGCACTACTGTCAATTCATTGGAAGAAGGCCATGACATCAGAGTTGAAGGCACTGATTGACAACAACACTTGGGTTCTCACAGATCCACCACTCAACAGAAACATTGTTGGCTGTAGATGGATTTTTAAACTTAAAAGGAATTCTGATGGAACAATTTCAAGATATAAAGCTAGACTTGTGGCTCAAGGATATTCTCAGGCTGCTGGTTTTGACTTTAGAGAAACCTTTAGTCCAGTGGTAAAACACTCTACCATTAGAATAATTCTTACTCTTGCAGTTCACTATGATTGGGCAGTGAGGCAGTTAGACATAAACAATGCATTCCTCAATGGAGAACTCTCAGAAGAAATATACATGATGCAGCCTCCTGGATTCTATAACAAGACATATCCCAAGAAAGTGTGTAAGCTGAAAAAGGCCATCTATGGTTTAAAGCAAGCCTCAAGAGCTTGGTTCCTTAAAGTGAAAGACACTCTCAACAAGATGAACTTCAGTTGCTCTCAAGCTGATAATTCCTTGTTTTTCAGAAGAACTCCTCAGTCAATTGTGATGATCCTAATCTATGTGGATGATATTCTGGTTACAGGGAGCAGCAATCAAGAAGTTGAACAGGTTATTTCTCAACTCAGTGCAAATTTTTCATTAAAAGATTTGGGTGAGATTAATCACTTCTTGGGCATGAAAGTTCATAGGACTGAGAAAGGGATGTTTCTATCTCAAGAAAGGTATGCTCAAGACCTTTTGTCTAAAATTTCTATGTACAATGCAAAGAGTGCAAAAACTCCAATGTCCACAAACTGCATTCTCAAGAAGAACCTCTCAAATTCCAGTGTGGATGCCACTATGTACAGAAGAATGGTAGGAAGTTTGCAGTACCTTACTATCACTAGACCTGAGATTGCTTTTTCTGTGAACAAAGTCAGCCAATATATGTCCAATCCTAATGATGAGCATTGGAAGGCAATAAAAAGGATTTTGAAGTATGTGGCAGGCAGCACATCATTTGGACTGAAGATCCTTAAGACTAATGATCTCAATGTAGTAGGATTCTGTGATTCAGATTGGGCAGCTGATTTGGATGACAGGAGATCAACAAGTGGTTTTTGTGTGTATGTTGGAGGAAGCTTAGTGTCTTGGAGTTCCAGAAAGCAAAGCTCAGTTTCAAGGTCCAGTGCAGAAGCTGAGTACAAGAGTCTTGCTCATGTGACTTCAGAAATCATGTGGATAAAGAGTTTGTATAATGAACTTCATGTTCAAGAACAAGAAAAACCTGTAGTATGGATAGATAATCTCAGTGCGATTGCCATGGCATCTAATCCAGTATTGCATGGGAGGACCAAACATGTGGAATTGGATTACCATTTTGTAAGAGAAAAGGTAGCAGCTAAGGATCTTGAAGTAAGGCATGTTCCTACTCAATTTCAGATAGCAGATGTGTTAACCAAAGCATTGAATGAGCAATCTTTCACCAAGTTGAGGGAGAAGTTAAATGTGTCAGCTCAACCAGGCTTAGATTGCGGGGGAGTGTTGGAAGCAACAGGTTTTTCATGCAGTAAAAAAGGCACATTACAAGCTAAAGGTAAAGAAAACTTACCTGTGCATGGAAGAGGCACGAGCACTGCATGTGATGGACATTTTGTCCTTTTGCACGAGTTGAATGAGCTGAAGACAAAAGACAGCTGTGAATTTGCACCAACCAAAACCGTAGGATCAAAACCTTAGTTGATAGATGATGAGGACATGTGTCCATATACTATAGGATCCTTTACTTGATATATATGTGAGTAGTGTTAGGTCTAATGATTGATTGATCCATTCTCTGTAATTCCGCCGCAATGAATACAAGAGAAGAACAAATGTTCATAGTTTTACTCGTTTCTATTTCTTTGATTACTTCATGCATACCATGATTTTCAACAGAACTAAGCACTTTCTTCACACCACTAAGCAAATCTCAATTCAGATACTATCTAAATTATGATGCATTTACTACAAATAGTATGTGAATTTTTTATTCAAAAAATTATAATTTCTAAATGTGAAATTTCTTAGTTATAATTTTTTACTTTTTTTTTTCGTTTTAGTTTGTGATGGTGCATTTCCATATAAATAGTTATATTTATGGCAATCAATATCTATTTAAAGTATGATTGTGATTATAATGAAATCATCCTTTATTATGTAAGGAATTTGATTTGAATTTGATTCAAAAAATAAATCAATATCTATAAAACTAACATTTACATTTACCATAATTAGCAATCAATCATGTGCATATTGTATAGATCTAAATAAAATATCATTAGTCATATGTGTATATATTATAAAATCATAAGTTATATAACCGTACAGTTTTGCTATGAAGGCAACAGTTGGCTCCATAATGGAGTCAACATTCTATATACAACAAGTAAACCATACCATATTCTTTGATTACTTAAATAATATTACAATATGACATGGTTTACTTGTTGTATATAGAAGGTTGACTCTACTATGGAGCCAACTGTTGACTTCATAGCAAAATTGTATAACCGTAATGTCACATTCAATAATTTAATAATTAGTAAATATAAATAATATAATTATAAATTATTTTACTTATATATAAATAACTATATAATTTACATAAAATATAGATCTCAGGTCGACTTGCCGGTTCATCTGGTTTGGTTAGACCGCTTATCGGATCGAGTCCACCCGGTATGGTATCCTATATCATATTATTTTTGTATAAATGAGCTTTGAACAAAATATAATTTTTTTTTATTAATTAAAATAAATTATAGTTGAAGTGAAAGTAACGGTAGGTAATTTGTATGTATGAGGTACACAGGACAATTAACATATTTTTTTGTCTCGTAAATTCAATATATAGTTGAAGTTGAAGTGTCGAGTATTTGTCAATCTAATGGTAAGACGAGGAATACATTTTGTTGATTATACGAGAAGGTGGCTAATTACTATCCTTCTTACACCTAACACTCGCGCTATTGCATGAAAAAGAATTATAAAGATAAATGTTAAAACAATTGGATGTGACTTGACTATTTTCTAAACTTAATATTATGCTGAATTGTTTAGATATTTTCTATATTTTTACACTTTAAAAAACATATTAATAATTATTGATTCTATTAGGGTCAAATTTATTAACTCTATGGTCGCTTTTGAACCATGGAATAACCAAACCAATTTTCAATACCTTCAAATTTATAGAATCTCTCAGTTTTACATCTTTTGAATATAAAATTCATATACAAAGATTCATGACTTGTTATTATTTAGTAATAAGACTGCACACATATCAAATGATTAGACAACCATAGTTTTCAATACATATACATATTTTTAAACTAAAATATCATATTCTAAAAAATAAAATAAATAAAGTATGATATTTCATGGTATGAATATACAATTTTTGTTTTAAAAATATAATAGGTTGATTTAGGCCGCATCAATAAAAATTTATGAGTTTTAACTATTACTTTGTCATGATGGAAATTAAATTAAGAGTAGTGCGGAACATCGTAGCCATAGTTATCTTCACACTGGAAAAATTATCATATTCAAAATTATGTTTCAATTTCTAATTCATTCCTTTTGGTGATTGACATGTGTATAATTGAATGTCATTGTAGACTCGTTCATCAAATAAAATGAAACATGAATTCCATTGTATTTTTGGAATATAAAATCTCATCCCTTTCATTGTCCTCTACCCTCCTTATAACCTACTAGTAAATAAATAGAGAAAAGTGCATTTTTCGTCTTGTAAGTTTACCCCTCTCAACAATTTAGTCATATTCGAATAGCTAATTTGAGTTTTGTCCTCTAACTTTGAAAAAAGGTTGTAAATTCGTCCTCGACTCGCCGGAAACCCATTAATTGGCCGGAAACACGCACATGATGGAAATTAACGGCTCTTTCGGCCTACGTGGAGCCGGATTTCACACGCTGACGACCTCACTTACACGTGGCGGCAGAAATTAAAGAAAAAAAAAATTGCACGTGTCTACACACGTGGAAACAGAGGGAAAACAAATGAAAAGGCAGGAAAATGAACAGTCTTCCCACTTCTTCCCACAATCGCATTCCCAAATTCTCTCTGAAAAAAAAAAACCCTCCATCTCCATCGTTCCCAAATTCCGAAGGCAAAGAAATCGAAATCTCGAAATCAAGTATTGAGAAGCAAGAATCCAAATGATTCCTGAGAAGGTGTTCATCCGGAAGAAGATTCGTACGCACAATGGACCTCCCACATACGGCCAGTGATATTATTTTTGTTTGTTTATGGAAAATTCGTGCAATGTAAAGTTCATTGTTTTATGAAGAACCCTAAATTCGAGGTGAATATGGTTCGTTTTTTAAAGTTCGTACAATTAAAATGAAATGAGGGTCTAAATTCCGTACATTATAATGAAATTAGAGTTCTTTGCGAATCTTAATTTCTTCTGCAAGCCGTAATTTCGAAAACGAATTAGAGTTTTTACAAGCCCTAATTCTGAATACAAATTAGGGTTCTTTTGAAAACCCTAATTCTGAATATAAATTAGGATTATTTTGTAAACCTTAATTCTGAATATAAATTAGGGTTATTTTGTAAACCTTAATTTTGAAGACAAATTAGGGTTTTTTTTTCTAACCCTAATTTAGGTGACTGTAATGTCGTGAAGGTGATTGTCTTAGTGATCTATTTGGTTGTTTAGAAAATAGAAGGTATTATTTCAACTCGGGTACTACATTTAACCTGCTTAAAGATGATGCAACTGTATGTAATTGGGCTAAATGTTTCTATAATAATAGATTGATGGAAATTCACATTGATCTAATGGATGGAGGTCAATTTGTGCCTACTTATAAGTATGATGAAGGTGGTTGGGTAGAATTGGAGAAAAAAAATGAGAGTGAAGCAGAGAGCAGTGAAACAAGTGAGAGTGAAATGAGTGAAAAGACAGATAATGAGTGTTGTGAAAAAAATGTTAATAAGGGCAGTGAAAAAATTATTAGGGGTGCTGAGCTACCTGATAGGGGTAATGATGGGTGTGATAGTCATGGGGGTATGAGGGTAGTGAAACTATAGACAGTGACTTTGATCTTAGATCAGAAAGTAGTTGTGGGATGGATGATGCAGACTTTGATCACAATGTAGACAAGTAGAGTTTGAAATTAAACCAGAGTCTGATAGTGGGGAAGAAGATTTGGTTGAAACTCCACTTGATTTTGATGAGTTTTGTTCAGATACTGAAACAATTGAAAAGAGAGAAATTGTCTTTAATCCTAGCAATATCTATGATCCAACATTTGCACTAGGAATGGTCTTTGGTACTAGAGATGAGTTTAAGAAAGTTATACAGTCACATGCTATTAAGTCCAAAAAAAGTATGAAGTTGAAAAAAAAAATGATAAGATTAGGGTCCATGCAGTATGTGATTCAGAGGAGTGTCAGTGGAAAATTCATGCCCTGAAGATTCCTGACCAGGAAGCCTTCAAGATAACCACTTACAACTCCAGTCATACATGCCCTATATCTTTTCATTTTAAAACTATTAAAAGTAAGTGGTTGTCTGAGAGGTACTTGAGCAAGTTTCAGGCTGATCACTCAAGAAAAGTAAAGGGATTTAGAAGGGAAGTGGTTCATGAGTTGGGGGTTGGGATTTCCAGGCACCAGGCTTATAGGGCCAAGAAGAGAGCTCTAGAGGTACTTGAGGGAAATCCAGATTCATAGTATGAAAAGTTGTGGGATTATGCCCAACAACTGAGGGATACAAATCCTGGTTCAACTGTGATTCTAGATGTTGAAGAAGATGATGGTGTTCCTAGGTTCTCCAAATTCTATGTTTGTTTTGCTGCACTGAAGGAAGATTTTAGGAGTGGTCTTAGGCCAATAATAGGGGTTGATGGCTGTCATTTGTCTGGACCCCACAAGGGTATTCTTCATACTGCTGTAGGTGTTGATCCTAACAACAACATATATCCCTTAGCTTATGCTGTGGTTGGTAGAGAAGCTAGGGATACTTGGGAGTGGTTTCTGACTGCATTGAAGCATGATCTTGGCATTGTGCATGACAGTGATTGTACTTTCATTAGTGATAAACATAGAGGGTTGATTGTGGCTTTTCAGAATGTTTTTCCTGACTCAGCACATAGATTTTGTGTTAGACATCTGCACAATAACTTTAAAAATGCTGGTTTCAGAGGGGCTTCATTTAAAAATGCTTTGTGGGCTGCTGCACAGGCAGCTACTGTGGGTGAGTTCCATTTTAGAATGAGACAAATGAGAGAAAAATGTAAAGAAGCTGCAGATTGGTTCAATGACAAGAACCCTGCACATTGGTCAAAATCATAGTTTGAGGAAAAACCAAAGTGTGACATCTTGTTGAATAACTTATGTGAGAGTTTTAATGCATGCATTGTTGATGCTAGAGAGGAATCCATAGTGACTATGCTTGAATGAATCAGAATGTACTTAGTGAAAAGGCTTCAAAGAAACAGGGATAGGGCAGAGTTGAGATGGAAAGGCAATGTGTGTCCAAAGATCATTAAGACAGTGGAGGCTAATATGGCAAAGTTAGGTGACTACATGCCTATGAAAAGTGACAACACGCACATCAAGTAGAGTGTTATGGTGGAGGTCAGTATGTGGTAGACTTGGAAAAAAAAAAACTTTCACATGTAGGTTGTGGGACTTGAGTGGGATACCAAGCATGCATGTAGTGCAATTGTATCTCAGAAGGGCAATGCAGTTGATTATGTGCATGACTACTACATTGTGGAAACATATAAAAGAGTTTACAAACCAGCCATCCTAGGTATTAACTTTCAGATGCTGTGGAACCAAACCCATTTCATTCCACCTTTGCCTTTCACATTTGGGAGAGGTGCAGGTAGGCCTAAGAAAGCAAGCAGGATTGATCCTGATGAGAAAGAAGAGAAAAGTCAGAAAATGAAGGCAAAGATTCAAATGAAGATGAAGAGGCAACAAAACAAGTTTGAAATGTTGAAAATGTGGCAATGTGGGTCACAATGCCAGATCTTGTGGCAAGAAAACCCTTTCTGATGCCAAGAAGGATCATAGCCCACTGGCTAAAGCAAGCCGGTCAATTGTAAGCAAAATTAGTGCGTTTATGTATAATATGTCTTCATTCAGTTTTGTTATTTATTGTTAAACGATGTGTTTTTACTTATTTATGTTTCCATACTTTTGCAGTTGCAAATTAAGGGGGCTAATGCTGCAAGACAGGCCAAAGAAGCTAAGGCTGCTGCAAAAGAGGCCAAAGAAAAAGAAAGGGAAGCAAAGAAACAGAAACAAGGTTTAAGCATTGATAAGCAGGTGGTACTTTATTCATTTTTCTTTTTATTTCATTTAATTACATTATTAATAAATGTTTCTGATGAACAATTTGTTGTTTCTTGAACAGAAACAAGGCTCCACCTCCACCATAGACAAAAAGGTATTACTTACTTTGTTAATTTTCTTTGTAATTCATTTATGTTTTGGTCACTGTAAAAAAAATAGTGATATATGTTTTTTCTTGAACAGAAAGAAGGGCTAAACATGGCACCACCAGCTCCATTTGTAGAAGAAACTGACTGGGATGATGAGGGCTTTGTGTCACAATTGACATAAGAATTTTGTGCAACTCCACAGCCTGAGATGACAAAGGGACCCACACCCCTTGAACAACTGCAAATGGGATTAAGAGATGATTCATACTTTAGAGATAATCAGTTGGAGGCCATCACTGCAAGAGATGGAACTCCAGCAATGTTTGAAAGGATTCAAAATGACTTCTCTTTGGGTAGCTCATCTCAGAAGTTGCAGATCAAAAAGGAGAAGGGAGAAAATTCTAGAAAGAAGTGAATTTCAGTTCATTTGGTGGGAAACTGAATTTCAGTTGATTTGGTTGTAAAACACTTGCAGGATATTGTTTGTTTATTTTTGATGGGAAACTGCATGGCAGGATATTGTTAGATTTTTTTTTTTGATATTGTTAATTTTGTTTGGAAACTTAATGGCAGGATATTGCAATGTCATTTATGTTATGCTTGGTGGTTGTAAAACACTTGTGTTGTGCTCTTTTTTTGTTTAGTTAATGGAACACATAAGTTGTGATGGTTATGAAAAGTTCATGTTCTACTTTTGAATTTGTTTGTATTGAGTTGTGATAGTTGTGATCAGTTATGCATTGCCTTTGAGTCATATCAGTGGTTGTGATGAGTTGTGATCACTTTATGCAGTTTAGTTGACAATGAAATGGTTGAGTTGTGCAATTGAGTTTTGTTTGAGGTTTATAGTCTAGTTCCAAAATCAAGGGAGACAAGTCTGGAAACTAAAGGAAATTTCATTGAAACCACAAGTGCATTACATATCGATGTTCTAAAATAAGGTACACACAAAATACAAGAGTACATAGAAGATTACAAGAGAAAATAAACACATTACACAACCTTCTTTAATCCATAGCCTTCACCTAATTCTATATAGCAAAAATACACACAACAAAGTTGCTATAGCCAATGCAAACCCCATTTTTATCTCCATTTTTTCTTTCTTTTCAACCAACCTCTTGTTCAATGCTTGCAATTTTTCAACCCTTTTCTGCAATTTTTCAACTTCTCCTCCAGTTTTTCAACCTTCTCCTCCAATTTGGTATTCTCAAATTTTATGTTTTCATTTGTTCTCTCCAGTGCCTTCATCTTCTTTAATAACACAGGCATGATTTTTTTTCAGGCCGGTCACAGGTAGGAGGGTCGACCCAAGAGAATTTTGTGTCATTAAAAAATCATGTAACCGAGCATCCTCTTGTATAATAAAAAACAACAAAAACAGAACCAACACAACCATGAAACAAGAAGAAACCCAATTGTACAGAAACAAGAAAAAAAGAAAAAAAAAATCCAACAGTTTCTTCCTTCTCAACATTACATTATCCCATAATTGAATATTGCAAGAAACAAAACCAAGGAAACACACATACAATTCACGGCGAAACACACATACAATTCTACCAAAAATATCATATAATGTGTCGTTAAGAGGACACCGTACCTTGTAGTGGAGACAAGAATGAAATCTCCTGCCCGGTTGTCGACCGTTCATGATGTGCGAATAACAACCCTTTTTTTGCACCAACAATTCAAGAAACTGGTAGATGCGACGACTCAGACATGTTGAAGGTGAACGAAATCGACAATTTTGACGTTGAAGGTGAACGAAATCGACAATTAGGGTTCTTGAAGATTTGGGGATCTTGTGATTTGGGAAATTAGGGTTGAAGGAAGATGGAAATGATTTAAAAATAGTAGGCCCGATTCATTTTATGACCGTTTCTTTTCCACGTGTGTCGGCACGTGAATTTTTTTTTTCTTTTAATTTTTGCCGCCACGTGTCAGTGAGGTCGCCAGCGTGTGAAATCCGGCTCCATATAGACCAAAAGAGCCGTTAATTTCCATCACGTGCGTGTTTCCGGCTAATTAACGGGTTTCCAACAAGTGAGGACGAATCTGCAATCTTTTTCTAAAGTTAGAAGACGAAACTCAAATTGGTTATTCTAGTGGACTAAATTATTCAGAGAGGTAAACTTACAGAACGAAAAATGCACTTTTCTCGATGAGATATTGTATTTACAGTTTGTACATAGTTTTTTATAATGTAACAATACTATTTTGTACATATAATCTCTGTAAATTCTAAATTTTATCGTACGTGATATATTGTCACACCAATTCTCGTAGTAACTCTGTAAACAATAGACAAGGAATCATTATTGAGAGAATCTAAACATAAAAAATAAATATCTGAAAANNNGTACTAGAAAAGATTAAATAATATTTATCATAATTCAATACACTTACATGTGCTGTGAATGGAATAAAATCAAAACCCTTTGACCAAATGTAATATGGACAAAAAAAAGTTTCATCACAGGAAATCTAGGTAAATCAGCCAAGGGTACTCGAGTAATTTCCAATCGAATTGCCCCAATTGCAGCAACCTGCACAGTAGAGAGCATGTACCATCATTTTCTATTTATTTTGTTTTTGTTACAGCAATAATAAAAGCCTCAATAAATATTTATTACACCAACCAACTTTTCATAGAGGGGAGAAAATTCTGACAAGAACTCATTCACATCACCCAGTAATAAATATTTCACCAGATATTGTTTTCATCTAACCATGGTTTACTTAGATCATCTCTAGTACTTAATTATACTCTAGTGCGGATTTTACTCTACTGTACAATAGAGTTAAACATTCGTCTCCAGCCCTTATCTCTACATTTTACTCTACATCAAATATATTATTTTTTATTCATTTTTTATCTTAAATAAATTGATATATATATATATGTATATTTAATCTTATATAAATGTTTATTACCAAAATAATAAAAATATATTTTATTTATTTTTATTCCAAATGAATTGGTATATATTTACATCAATGAATAAAAAACTACATCTTACTCTACATTAAATATATTATTTTTTTACTTATTTTTTATTTCAAATAAATTCTAATATATTTGTATATTTAATTTTATATAATTTTTTTCACTTGTTTATATAAAAATGTTATACAAAAACATTACATAAAAACATTATATATAAAAAAAGTATGAACTCTACAAAAAAAATTATATTAAAAAAAAAAAATTAAACTAGCGTAGTTGAAAAAAAGAAATAAAAACAGATTAAACCCAGCGCAGATGAACAGTACTGCGCCACATCTGACGCAGTACTTAGAAATATGTATTATAGCGCATAAAAATAGCGCAGGACTGAAGAATAAAATTTACACAACTTTAACATAATCTATCAATATAGCGACGCGCTGGAGATGCCCTTAATCGGCTATCTTTGACCAAGGTTAAGCCGAGCTGATAAAACTCAGCAACTCTAGTAAAAGCCAAGCCATAAGCCCAAAAGCCCAAAATTATGCAATTTTTTTATTGTTTTATTTTTTCTTAAAAAAGAGTTGGCTCATGGTGGCAATTATCACCACCACCTCCCTCAAAACCCTAATTGCTTGTTTCCTCTTTATTATATTGATTAAAAAGTTTGCAAGAAACAATTAATTTAATACTATTCTTTTATTATATTTGAAAAAAAAAGACAAAAGAAAAAGAGATTACCCATAAATAATGCCCCTAAACCAAAAAGAAAGTGAAGAGTGTTTCCCTTTACCAAGGCTGCATTTTTATTAGTTCTCTCTCTCCCCCATCTCTTTCCTCTCTCTCTCTCTCTATCTCTCTCTCTCTCTCTCACACCCACACTATTTTCTTGCTAAAACTCTGAAACAGAGGAAGCCCAGAAACTCAGCAGGGAAGTAATTAATGTTATTCACACAAAGGGTCTGAAAGAAAAAAGGAAAAATATCTTTATCACACTACTCTTTGTAATTTCCTTTTCTCTTTCTTGATGGGCTGCACTTAATTTTCTCAAGACTTTCCTTTGCCTCAGATCTATCACTTTTATTTTTTATTTTAAATTTCACAATCAATAGATTTTGTGCCCATTTGTCTTTCTTCTGTGGTGGGTAGCTGAGAAAATGAGTAAAGAAGAGTTCTTGAAGATTCAGGTATGTACAATTTCTAATCCTTCTCATTTTGCTGGTGAATATTTGTGAAAATGTGTGTTTTTTGTATGGAAGGCTGGGAGCTTTGCATTTTCTTGAATACCTGTGAATATTTGTTTATTGTTGTTTTCTTCACTCAAGATCCTCAATTGGATTAATGGGTGGGTCCTTTCCTTTTTTCTCTATTTCAAGGTGTATGTGATTTTTTTTTTAATCATTAATTCAGTCAAAGTTTTGATTTTTTTGCCCGTTTATTTATCTCTACCCTTTGGGTTTCTTGTTGATGACTAGTTTTTGGCTTGTGAGTGATAAAGTTGGAAACTTTACCATGTTCTCTGTTTTTTATGTTCTGTCTTTGCTTGTTCTCGCAGACTTGTGTTCTTAAAGTCAATATACACTGTGATGGATGCAAGCATAAGGTGAAGAAAATCTTGCAGAAGATTGAAGGTATTGCTCAAATTTCTAGCCTTTATTGCTCTTTTAAGACCATATAATGGCTTGTTGTTAGTCTACCTAACAGTTTGAACTAATTACCTAACATCCTAAAGGTCTGTGAATTCTAAAAAGAACAGTAATATTAATTGAACTAAATTTGTAAGTTGAAGCTATAATACTTCTACAAATCACAGGAAAGGGGTTTTCGAAATGTTTCTGCTTGAGAATTAGGTCTTCAATAGGGATTCTGTGATTTTCAAAAGCCCCTGCTTTTAGTTTTTTGGACAAATTAACTCCAAACCCCAATGTTTCTTTTATTTTTTCTTTGTACAATCAACCACGTTCTTCTTTTGCTTGTTCTTTTGGAATTTTGTTTAATCTTTTTTACCAGTTGGCCTAATTTGTTCTTCTCTCTCTCTATCTCTCTCTTTTTTTTCTTGGGATTTTAGGTGTATACACCATAAAAATAGATTCAGAGCAAGGCAAGGTCACTGTGTCGGGCAACGTCGACTCGTCCACCCTCATAAAGAAGCTCGTCAAAAACGGCAAACATGCCGAGATTTGGGGTGCGCCAAAGTCCAACAACAATAACCAAAACCAGCTCAACAACCAGTTCAAGAACCTCCAAATGGATAACGGCAAAGGCGGCAACAATAACAATACCAAAGGCCAAGCCCAGAAAGGAGGTGGTGGTGGTGGTGGTAATAATAGCAACAACAACAACAACAACAACAAGAATAGTAATAATAATAATAACAATAATCAGCAAAAAGGCGGTGCCAACAATAACAACCAGGCGAAAGGCGGTCAGAACAACCCACAGTTTCAGCAGCTCCAGCAGATGAAGGGATTTCAGGACATGAAGATGATGGGGCAGTTCATGAAGGACATGAAGATGCCGGCGAATAACGGCAAGGACCAGAACTCCGCAAAATCGGTCAAGTTCAAGGTTCCAGAGGATGATGGTGGCTTGAGTGATGATGATTATGACGACGATTTCGACGATGACGATGAAGACGACTTTGACGATGATGACCTGGATGACGAAATGGACGACGGGCCTAAGATGAAGCCCGTTATGGGCAAGGGGCCCGGCGGCGGCGGCATGGGCTTGCCCAACATGATGCATAACATGTTGAACAATGGTCAGAACCCTCATCTCGGAAAGGCCGCCGGAGGCGGCGGTGGAAATGGGAAAAAAGGTGGCGGTGGCGGAGGCGGAGGAGTGAATATTCCGGTTCAGATGAATCATGGTGGTGGCAAGAAGGGTGCAAATGATAATAAAAGTAATAATAATAATAATAATTCCGGTGGAAATCAAAATCAAAACCAGCAAGGTGGAAAAGGCGGCAAGAACGGTGGCGGCGGCAACAATGGCCAAGCCAAGAACGGCGGCGGCGGCGGCGGCAATGGTATGATGAACGGAGCGAAGAAAGCAGGAGGATCGAATGACGGGCCTCACGGCATTATGGGCGGGGCCCATATGGGGAACATGCATATGGGCCCGATGGGTGGTCAAATGGGTCAAATGGGCCAAATGGGGAATCTTGCGGCTGTCCAAGGGCTGCCGGCGTCCGGCGGAGGCGGCTACTTCCAGGGAGGTGGTGGTGGTGGGCCCGGAGGGGGCCCGTACAACCAGCAGCAGCAGATGGCGGCGATGATGATGAATCAGCAGAGGGCGAACGGAAACGAGAGGTTCCAGCCGATGATGTACGCGCGGCCGCCGCCGGCGGTAAATTATATGCCGTCGCCGTATGGGCCGTACCACGGGGGATACCCGTCTTACCCGCCGCCGGGAGAGAGGGTCGACCAGTACTCGATGTTTAGCGACGAGAACACGAATAGTTGTGCTGTTATGTGAGTTCGGGCCGGGCTGGGCCCTGGGTGTTGTGGTGGTGTTTTGGAGTTGGTTAGTGGTGGTGGTGTGTGCCTTTCTCAAAGTGTTGAAGGGTTTGGTTTTTATATAGTTTGGTGGGTGGTGTAAGGCTCTGCTTGTTGTGTGTGTTGTTTAAAAGTTTGTAGTTTGTTGAATTTGAATACTCTTATCAGTGTTGATGCCATAAATACACAAATGGGAATATTTAATGGTTTTTGTTTTTGTATTTGTATTAATTTTGATTTTTCAGTTGGAGTATGTGAGTGAGTGAGTGAGTGAGTGAGTGAGTGATTGGGAGATAGTATTTATAAAAGATCTTGAGCTTCGTTTTTGGTAAGTTGTGATTGGGATTGTGGTAGATGTTTATAAATTGGAAAAAGTAATAAAAAAAAAATTAAAGTTATTAAACGAGCTGATCGTGAGCTCAGTTCGGCTAGTTAAAATTTGAACTTGAAGTGTGAAAACATTTTACTAATTAAGCAATGCTTGCGAGTTTGCTTTCTGTTTTTGCTTTGTACAACTTCTCCTTTCTCTTTGTACAACAGCTTCAAATAGGCCATGTAGGGCGGTGGTTGCTATCTTTTTCTTAAGCCTGTCGTTTCGGCAGCAAAGTATAAAACAGCAATTCCTCGGGTTCATTGCTTGGTCTTTGCCGGGAGTTGCTCTTTATGCTTTCCTTTCTTTGTAGGCTTCTAGTGCACATAGGGTGTTACTCCTGTTATCTTTTTGGACACGTTATCGAGTTCTTTAACGTGGGTTGTACATTTTCTCGACTTATAAAATCTATCGTTTCAAAAAAAAAATAAAAAAAATTAAGCAATGCTTGAATCGTTTTCGAATTGTTTCGATTACTTAAAAATAAGTTATCGAAAGGGTCTCTTAATTAGATTCTATTAGCTTATGCCTTTAGGTCATCCATCGTACAATTCTTGCTACTTCAGCTTCCTTAACCCTGGCCGAGGGTCAAACTCAACCTAGTTTTCTTGATCTGATGCTATTAACGGGCTTCCCTACAACTCTACCATTTCTTATTCGGGTCGCACGACCTCCAGCATGAACAACCTGCCTTTGATCCAAGCGAGTTGTCTCCAATCCAAGCAACCCTACTAAGAGGTGCTATGGAGCACCATATCAAAACTCGAGTTTGTTTAGTTAAATGAGCTAGGATTAAGTTTCGTTATAACTTGAAAATAGAGTATATGTAGTTTTTTATAGCTTGTTAAAGTTTTAGTTCGGGTCATTAAATTTTAATTTTGACTTTTTTTTTTTTGACAAACGAGTTGAGGTCGAGACTTATTATAGTTCAAAAAATATGCCTAAAATTTACTTATTTAGGACGCATGAACATTGTGGGTCCATAGATAATGAAAGAATATTTTAAAATAAGTCTTAGGACTGTCCTTTAAAATATAAAATTTTCCAATAACATTTATAAAAAGAATATAACTCATCTTGGACTATTAAAAACGAAAAAGCGTGACACCAAAAAGTTATATCTAATTGGGGTCTTTTCTAGATTTTAATTGTACCATATGAGAGTATATGCAGTAGCATGATTGAATTTTATTGTGGTGGATTGAAGTATATGGTGGGGTACAAATTTTCACAAAAAAAATAAAAGAGTACTTTTGACTGATAAGATCTGTCTTTTAACAATCAAATTTGTGTATCTGTTACATATATTTATAGAGAACCAACTCATTGGACATCTAAGCCCTGATAGTGGTCAAAGGGGACATCTCACTTTAAATGGGTTGTTTTAGGCTTGAATTTAATGCATGCGTAATAATACATCGACGGTGGGTATTGTGCCATATCATAAAACATCATGTAACATTTAGTAATATAAATGTGTATTCAGCTGCTGTGTATTCGCACATTTGTGCTTTTTTATTTATAAAATTTCTATCGTTTCGAAAAAAAAAAAAAAAAAATATATGATGTACCAACATGTTTAACAATTAAACTAATACACACAAGAATTTATAACATTTTAGTACCAACATAAATTGATATAACATACAGAATAGCTTAAGTGGACCGGTATCTTAGGTAGCTCGTGTTGAAAGATCACAAGGTTGTACAACTCGAAGTGATAGGGGGACCTATGGACATCACATGAAGATATGTGATGTATGCTAGTACTAAGGCTGATATTTTTGGACCAAAAATCGAAAATTGAATCGAATCGACGAGAAAAAAAAGTAAATCGTACCGACTCATTTATAACGGAAACCAATTATCAGTTACGAACTTGTTATCGGTCCGATATCGGTTCCGAAACCATAAAAGTTCGGTTTTACAAAATTGAACCGATTAGAAATTAAAAAATAAATTTATACTTAATAGTTAATAACTTAATACTAATAACTTAGCCTCAATTTTTTTAAAAAAAAAATTAAAAAGCCATGTGAATAAAAAAGGGCCCTCAACCGGTCAGC